TGGACTTAGGGCTCTAAGACATGGGATAACAAGCCACTTTGAGAAAATATCCCTATTTGCAAAATGACCAATGTGGCCAAACGTGGCTACACATGCAAGATTTGGCTAAGACCCCGCAAAGCCAAAAACCTAAGACTCACTAGGAAGACCAGACCCTATGTGGGTTGCCTACGTATCCCGCCCCGAAAGACGAGAATCAGGTATGCGTAGTTTGGGAAGATTGGACATGGGAGAGAGCTTTTTTATTTAAAAAAAATGCAACTCATTTGGAAAAACTATATATTTTTTGTCTTTTTGAAAAATGATGGAAAATGTAAAATCTTTTCGAATTTTCTTTTTTTTTCCTCTTTTTTTTTGATTTTTGGGAAACTATGAAAGAAAAATGTGAGTGGGCCCTACTTGATTCATTTTATATTTCACCCTCAAATATCATTGGTCCGCCAAATGACCCTTTTACCCCTAAAAAATACAGCATGTAGCACATAGGGATGATTAAATGTCTTTTTGGGCCATAAGCCCATTTTGACATAATTTGGATAGGCCTCCTACAATGGAACACAGTGCCTGGGACCGAACCCTGCTAGGTTTAAATGATATGATGCAAATAAGCATGACCTAAAGGCTGACCTACATTAAGGGTTCACTAGACAAGGCAATTCGGGGCATCACGTGGTCAATGGTGGCTGCTCTAGCTGTCTGCCCACTCCACGCTGCCATGCCACCCCCTAAAGACACGGGTGACTCACAAAAAGGCCGTGTACGCTCAAACGTACTACGAAAGACTTGTTGCAGAAAGAAGACCCGGGGTTATGCAAATGATGACAGTTATAAAGCAATAAACACATAAAAAGAAAACTTTAAACACATAAACAACTAGCAAATAATAACAAAGTATAAGAACATAATAAAAATCAGATAAAGCTAAAAAAACATAAAAACCTCAACCAAATATTCTAAAAAGCCAACAAGATTGTAGTACCATCTCGAACCTGCAACTCCCTAGCAGAGTCGCCAGAGTTGTCACACCCTTTTTTTCAACCTCACTAAACCCTTTTAAAATAAATAAAAAGATTTATAAAGCTCAAAAAGGATTTTTAATTAAAAGTGACAAGGAATATTGTGTTTCAAAAGATTTTAGAGTCGCCAGCTGGCATTTGATTTCGCTGTGCCAGGCCACCATTTTTTTTAGAAAATAATTTTTCCTTTTAGAGCACTTTGGACTCAAAACTAAGTCGGCACCAGAGATTTTAGGTAAGGGGGTTCATTTGACTCGGGGAGAAGGGGTTAGGCATTCTCCGAGTCCCGTGAATGTCATGGTTGCGTACCCGATCTAGTTGGCTTTTTAAAACATTCAAATTGAGGTAAAAATAAACACGCAAGAGGCTCGAGGTCGTCCCCACCTAATAAGAGAAAAATGAAAAGGAAAATAAAAATACTACGAGTTCTACTATCGACCTCCAAATACAAATACTTCGGGGCATACCCCGAAATAAAATATATACAAATCCTTCGGGGCATTCCTCGGATAAATTTAACTAAGGGGGACCTCTCGCCTAAAAAAGAAGCTAAAACATGAACGTCCTAAAGGTTCGCCTACCCAAATTTGGTCGGCCTAAGCATGCTCCTAGTGGACAATAAAATAAAAGTAAAATAAATAAAACTAAAAGAAATAAAAAATAATTTCATGCTCATTCCCTTCTTAATATCTTATTTCATGCCTTTGATCAAGCCCCAATTCCTAAAGGATATGAACAAACTAATTACTAATGGGCTCGGCCTTTTCCCCCTCCCATGGCTCGCGATCAAACAAAATGCTAACCAGATAAGCCAGGCACCCTAACAACGAAAGCGCACAGAATGACAAATATACCCGAACAAACAAAAGAAAGGTTTATTTTTAAAGCATGATGAGAGCCTTTTTATACCCTTTTAAACCCATTCGCATTGCTCTTTAATTCCTCTCACAAACAGATTCTAATCTCACTAACTTGAACATACATGAACTCAATCAAAGACAAGCTTGCATACTTCAAAGAAGTTCTACAATAACTGGTTATTCACTAGGAAATAAAACTGCTATCACACCAAGCATAGTGATCAGGAAGGACAAATGAATAGCAAAACTAACTTCAGAACTATTACTTTGCAATTTGACTTATGAGAGAATGGACCCCTTTGATTCTAACCAACAACAATGTTAAATGAGTCATCTAACTAAGAAATCATGTGATCTCAAAATAATCTTGAAGTCAAATAAAATTTTGAGCTTCAATTTACTACACCAAACAAGCTAGTTTCATGCAAACAACAAGACATGGTACTGCAGTAAGGAATTAATCAATTGGACTTAAACTTTATGCTAAAGAACTACAAACTCGTGACATCATGTCAATTCCTAAAGAAAATCAATGTAACTTTCAGTAATGATTGTAAGACGAGGGCCCAACAGTTGTAAAGTCTCGATGTGGCAACCAATTGAATCTTTACACATGGACGACACGACAACTTTATATCTAAAGACCAAGTTAAAAAGTTATTGCCGACAATTCAATACTTAGGTCTAGGCCCCAGAGATTCAGCAAACCCAACGACAAAATCAAAGTTTATGAAATGATCACCTCACCAAATGAACATCAACATTCCCTGATACCCGATGATATTTCTCCTAAGACATTTCAGAAACATATAAACCACCTCTTAACCATACGAGATCTCCCCATTACTGTAGTATTCATTATTAACCTTTATACTTCAAATCAAATCTAGCATAAGTGAGCAATTATACTAAATAGAACCGCGACAAAATTTGCAGTAGATACACTAAAATGCTCTCAAGAAAAACTAGCAAATAAGACTGGACGGATGCAAAGCACTCTATAGGTAACAGATTCAAATATGACAATTACTCTACTTACAAAAATATGGTCACCAGAAGAGGATGATAATTTCAATTTCATGCCAAGCCTCACACAGCATTCAAGCAAATCAATTACCATATTTCAAGAGATAGGTCTAGTAATTCGATGAGATTAACGGGAATAGTTCATATTAAGACACAAGGAATAGCAGAACCATGAGATGTCGGCGAAGCGAAATGAAGTAATCAAACTGATTCTAAACATAAGAACAACCAGCTTTCTTAGTTCAGATTTCACTGGGATCAGTTCGAGTCTTAGCAGAATACGGCGAAACCAATCAAATTTAAGATTAAGCGATATTTTAACACAAAGAAGAAAGCAAAGACATCTGCACATGGAAGAAAATTTTATCCAATCTCATCCTTACTTAAATCTAGCAAAGTTTGCTTCTACTAATACTCGACCTTGATTATTATGTTTAACTTAATTAAAACTTGAACCTGTTCTAATGTCTACTCCAGGCTCTCATCATTCTTTGAATCAAAACCAAATCAGTAAACAAAAATGAGAAGGATAAAGGAATACCTGAAATGAAATCTTTCCAATGTATTTCCAGAATAAGAGAATACAAGCAGAAAACGGGACTTTGACGACGAGCTTGAAATGAAAATAACTAATGAAAATCGAATTCCACAAGAGCCGCGACCGGAGATGAACCTCAGTTAACAAGCAATCGATAACTCGAACGACCTCGACTCAATTTCAAAACTCAAATAATCTCCATCTTGGAAAATCACATTGAAATCAGAAGAGAACAAGCACAAACTTTTTTGGTTTTTTTTTTTTTTTGTATTTTTCTAATTTTGAATTGGAAACAAAATTCGAACAAAAATCTAAACTCAAACTAATTTTTTTTGTATTTTTGTTATTCTGGAATTCAAACCAAATATGAAAAAGGTTAGATCGAGTGTGATTAGATTGAGTGCAACTTAATCCTACGCACCCCATTTTTCCTATTTTCGCCTAAAAGAGATAAATCCAAAAATAAAAAATAGGAAGAAAACGCGTCTTTCATGATTAGGGAAGCGTGGAGGAAGGAGAAAGGGTAGAAGGGGGGACCATGGGGGGCCAGTGAGACATGTCGCCGAATTTAATCATTCCCAGCGAGTATGAGGGTGGAGCGCGGTGGAGAGTGGAGGAGGGGGTGGGGGCCGGTTTTGGTGTTTTAGAAATTAGGGTTAGGTTTGGGGAGGGGTTATAATGAGGTTTTTATATTTAGGTGGGGGTTAATAATGAACCTTGGATAAAACGAAATGAAAGGTGGGGATTTAAAATAAGAAAATGGGAGGGTTAGCGGATCGGGTTGGCGGATCAAGAAGGTGAAAACGGGTCAGGGGTTAGGGGGGAATGGGCTACCTGATTTGGGCCTTAAAATTGGGCTAAAAAAGATTTCCAAACCTAGTTAAATCCCTTTAATATAAAATAAAAATACTACACAATGCAAAAATCAAATCTAATTAATTAAGCTAAACTATATTAAAATATAAAACTATATTTTTTTTGTATATTTTTTTCTTTTTTGTATTATATTGAAATAAAAGTAGAGAAAATTAGGCTAAAACCATCGCAAAGTAATAATATTACTACTAAAATACTAATGACCTTAAATAAATGAGAAAAATAATAAAATAATAAAACTATTTTTGTGTTTTCAATTTTATGTTTTAAAATAAAAATAAAAGTGGAAAATAGGATAAATCCTATTAAACTAAATCAAATAAATGTTTTAAAAATGCTGAGAATACTAATATAACTTGATGACGTCGCGGGTCAAAAATTATATGTCTACACCTCCTGGTCTTTCTGTCCCCTCTTCCTCCTCGTTTGTTCCTTTGGTGTGCAGATTACAGAAATCCTTGTATAGTTTGAGAGAAGCTTCTAGGTAGTGGTATGCCAACTTGTCTCAAGCATTGCATTTCTAGAGGCTATGTTCATTCCATTAATTAATATTCATTGTTTACAAGAGGTTCTAGTAGTTCTCTAGTCATTTTGGTCATCTATACGGATGATATCATCCTTACAGGGGCTGATCTATCTGAAATTTCTTTCTTAAAGAGGTTTTTAGATGACCAGTTCAAAATCATGGATTTGGACTCCCTTAACTATTTCCTTGGTATTGAGGTATTGCATGTTACTTATGGGGTTCTCCTGCATCAAAGGAAGTTCATCCTTGATCTTTTGGCTGAGTTTCATTCCTCTGAATGTTCCCATGTTACTTGTCCACATGTGCTGAATGTCAAGTTGAAAGCTGGGGTTGGTGATCCCCTTCCTAAACCTGAAGAGTATAGAAGCCTGGTTGGTACGTTTAATTTTCTTAATCACACCAGGGCTGATCTTAGCTTTGCTGTGTAGCACCTTAGCCAGTTTATGCAGCAACTTTGTGTGCCTTACATGAAGGATGCTTTGCATTTGCTCAAATATCTGCGGGGTACCTCTGAATTTGGTATTTTCTTTTATCATTCTCCTGATTTATCTTTACAAGTTTACTGTGATAGTGACTGGGGCTCATGTCCTGATAGTCGAAGGTCTATTTCTGGTTTCTGAATCTTCGTTGGTGGGAGTCAGATTGGTTGGAAGTCCAAGAAACAATCAATGATTTCTTTATCTTCAGCTGAAGCTGAATACAGGTCCATGAGTAAAGTTGTGGGAAAAAATACTTGGGTTTGCCGGCTACTGGCTAATTTTGGTATCACTTCTGTTATTCCTGTTCTTTTATTTTGTGATAGTATGTTTGTCATTCACATTGCTAGAAATCCAGTCTTTCACGAAAGGACAAAGCATATTAAATTGAATTGCCACTTCGTTCAGAGCAAGCTTGCTGAAGGGCTGATTTCCTTGTCTCACACTTCTAGTGCCTCTCAGTTTGTTGATGTATTCACCAAGCCTTGCCTGGTCCTTCTCATCATTACATTCGCAAGTTGGAGGTTTTGTCACCCTCCAACTTGAGAGGGGATGTTGGATTTGTAGATATGAGTTCATTTCCTTTTAGTCTTGCACATGCCAACAAGTTATTTATCTTGTGTGTAATAGGCCCAGTTTAGTTGTTAGTTGTTTTGGGCCAAAGACTCATGTATTAATAGCACAGGGACCTAATTGAGTTGAATCAGAAAAGTCGAGCATGCTTCACTTGGTACCAACACACTTAACTACGGGCTTATGATTAAAAACAAGTTCTTGAAAAAAAATATTTCTAGTTAGTAGCATTTTGACTCTTGTATTGACTTGAGCAATCATCGAATGGTTTAGTTGAACTATTAGTGATTTTCAATCTTGAATATGGTTGTTGTGGGCCCTTGACTCTATCCTCTTTAACAATCCAATTGGGTGAGAAGTGAGATTTTTATTGCAAGTCCAAGTACACGTGTGAATGGTCTAGAACTTGTCCCGAATGTGTTTCTTGGCGGAACTCTAAGTTTTGCTTGGATTGAAAAGTGATTGTAGGCTCTCCTTGACCCCGCTTGAAATTTTCCATGTCCCACCAATGTTGCTATCACTAGGCAACCCATTTGAGCCTAAGACCTTTCTCATTCGATAACCACATTACAAGCCGTTACCCGTTTTGTAGTGACCCTCTCTTGGCACCCTAGCTTTCCTTAACACTCTTGAGAAGGAATTGGATAAAACATAAGTTTGGGGGAGAGACGAGGAGTTTGAAAGTGGTATTAAGGCACAAAAAGAGAAGAAATTAATAAAAGGAAACGCAAAGAAAAAGAAAGAAAGAACACAAGAAAAATGCAAAAAGAAAGTGAATAAAGTGAAGAGTTGAAGGGATTCAAAGAAAAGCAATGATGCGAAGCATGGAGAAAATAAAGAAGGAAAAAATGAACATCATGACCGAGAAAGAGTGATGTTAAGTCTCTCTAGTTCTCCTAAGGAAAAAGAAAATGAGCCAAAAAGAGAAAAATGGAGTGCTTAAGGAAAGATGAACCCGTTTCTATCCCAACATTCCCTACCTTTGTCCAAAAGCCTTCATTCCAAAAAAGCCCTACGTGATTTCAAGCCGAGTGAACTTACATTGGGGTGATTTACATGAGGGGCAAGCATATGGTACTTAGAGCCGTACTTGTGACATTCTTTTGAGAGAGATGAGCGAACTTTTCACAAATTCTTGAATTGAGTGCTACATTCTTAAGTGAGATATGCTAACGGAGAGTAGATGAGGAGGAGTTTGGGATCCACAATGACCTATATGAAAGAGCGAGTTTCCTTGATGAATAAAGTCAACTCTTGATGCCCAAGTGTCACATTAGAGCTATTGGTGCTTAAAACTTCAAATCATTGTCTTGTTAATAATTCATAAGTGTTGTAGGTAATTGTTGGTCCCAATTGATGTGCGTTTGATACGCCTTAGATTAGTTAAAAAAGCTCTTTAACATGTGGAGGTGGGAATTACTTTAATTGCTTGAGGACAAGCAAAAGCTAAAGTTTGGGGGAGTTGATAAGTTGGGATTTTGACTACTTATTAGCGCCTTTTAGCTTTCATTTTAGTCCAAAAGTGCTTAGTTGTATTCCCAAAAACTGATGAAATGTGCTTTAATTCAGGAGTATTGGAAAATGAACCACAAAGATAAAATCCAACTCAAAAAGGAGTAATGTGAACTCAAGGACAAAAAGCAAGCAAAAGGCTAAATGTGCGGACCGCAGAATTCCTTCTGCAGCCGCAAAAATACAAAGAAAATCCAACAGAGGTCTAATGTAAAGTGCGGACCGCACAATTATTGTGCGGCCGCAGAAGCCACCAAAGATTTCAAGTTCAAAGAAGTCCCAGTTCGAGCTTCAAGGATACGCGGACCACACAATTATTGTGCGGTCACAGAATCTAGCCATGCGGCCGCACACAGATTTGTGTGTCCGCAGAAAGGGCCCGTGTGGTCGCACTTACTATTGTGCGGACCACATAACAAGCAACATGCGGCCTCAATACAGAATTATGTGGCTGCAGACCAAGCTCCTACCTAGACTGAAGAAGAAGTGTGGACCGCACATGGAATTGTGCAGCTGCAGAACCTCTGAAAGGGCAATTTTGTCCAAAATTTCTAGATGTGTATAAATAGACTTCTTTCACGAAATTAGGTCAAGTTTTGAATATCCAAACATCTGTAGCCATTTTTTTTTACTGATTTAGGCAACTTTATCTTACTTTAGTGATTAAACATTAGATTTTTTTCTTTCAATATGAGTTTAATCATCACTTTTTCTCTATTTTCTTCATCACCCATTATGAGTAGCTAGATTCTTAGCTAGGGTTGTGACCCAACCCTAGTGTGTAAACCTTATAAGTTATTAATTTTATGCTTGTTTATGAATGGGTGTTTGTTATTTAGCCTAGCTTATGCTTCATTTGTGATTTAATGGTTGCAAACATTGATTTATGCCTTTTCGACTTAGTCTCTTCTTGAGAAAGAGACCTAGTCTAGGTCAATCTAGCTAACAAGGAATTGGGTCAATTGAGAAATTGATCAACCCAATTAAAGGGTTCAACCTAGAGATAGTAACAACCCGACTTGAGCTCTTATCAACCATTTCGGTAGATACCCATTTGGTCATGAGAAAGTCAAATTGGGCAAAATCATTCTCTAACGAGAGGTATTGAGTGGGCAACGCAGTGTTGTGAGCCATAGTATACCCCATTCAACAAAACAACATAAAAGTCTTTATCCTATTAGGCAAACACCTAGGTCATGGTTACAACCCTAGTCCTTTTATAACATTAGAAAAACAACCAAAAACATTATTCCTTAGTTTCAATTATTTAGTTGCAATCTCAGTTTAATTTAGCTATGAAACCAATAAAGTTTGTGGAAGTGTAATTTAGGATAATTCAAGCTCGTATACCGTAATATATACTCCTAAATCCCAATCTCATAGTTCCATGTGGAATTTGACCCCGACTCAAAGTTGGGAATTACTATTGCATCGACCGTTTCACTACCTCAAATAGAGGGTGTTACTTGGATGACATCATATACCTATTTGCAGCCAATAGGCTTTTTTCCTTGGGGTAACTAAACTATTTCTCAAGTCTTATTTGCCTCAAAAGCCTCAAATTCCTTTCTTATAACATCCTGCCATTCAGGGACAGTTGCTGCCTAGGAATAAGAGCAAGGCTCAGGAACATGTATGTGAGTAATATTAAGAGCAGATGTACTTGAATCAGAGACCAGAGATGGGAAATGTTAAACAAAGTCCCTGAGATACCCGGGAGGATTGTGTGGTCTAGAAGATCTTCTCAAAGTTGGAGGAGGAGCAGGAGATAGAGAAGGAGAGGTGGTAGAACCAGGAGACAAGGAATGATTGAAAACTGAGGAAGGAGAAGACTGAGAATATGAACAAGAAGGGAAAGAAGAAGAAACAGAGCCATTAACAGGAGTAGAAACAAAAGAGAAAGGATCAAAGCAAGCAGAACTAGGATGAGAGTTCAACTAAGAAGTATTATTAACAAAATAAAGTAAAGGAAAGATATGCTTATGAAAAGCAACATCCCTAGAAACAAAAGAAGTCTTAGTAAATAGATTGTAATGTTTATATCTCTTTTTTGGAAAAGGGATAGCCAACAAAACACAAGGATAGATCTAGGAAGGAACTTATCCTTATGAGACTTGGTATCTGTGGAATAACATAGGCAACCAAAAGCACTAAGATGAGAGTATCCAGGTAGAGTACCAAACAGTAACTCATAAGGACTTTTACCAAGGAGTAGGTCAGAAGGGAATCTATTGATAAGGTAGGTAGCAATGATAATACAGTCTCCCAAAAGCTGAAAGGGGGATGGGATTAGAATAGAAGAGTTCTAGCAGTTTCTAAGAGATGCCTATTTTTTCTCTCCACTACCCCATTCTGTTGTGGGGTATAAGGATAAGATGTTTGATACAAAAAGCCTTTGCTAGAAAAATAGCGGCAACCAGTAGTACTAGACTCTAACTCCAATACATTGTCACTTCTAACTATCCTAACTTGAGATTTGGACTGGGTTTCAGCCATGCAACAAAACTCTTCAGAAGATCAAAAGCATTACTTTTGCCAACTATTAAGTGGGTCCAAGTTGCCCTAGTATAATCATCAACGATGGTTAGAAAAAACATGGATCCATTGTAAGTAAGTGCAGGATAAGGACGCTAAGTATCTACATGGATGAGTGGAAAATGTGTTGTGGAATGGATAGAACTATCAGGAAAGGGCATTCTAGTTTTTCTTACTAAAGGATACACAAGACAGATAAAAGATTGTTTAGGTGAAAACGTACAATTAATTGTGGAGATATATTTCATTTTAGAGAAAGGAATGTGCCCAAGTCTATAATGCCATGCAATGTCAATAATATTTATTTTGTTACTTGCATCACTGTATTTACAGTGGAAACATCAACATTCTCATTGAAGCTAATTGTAGGAACAGAACAAGAAACATAAGGAACAGAAGTAAAAGAAGCATGGAAATAGGGAGTAGAAATTTGTTGAGCCGGTGGATTTGCATGCTGAAAGAGTTTGTAAGGACCACTATCCGGTCTACTAAGTACCACTGGCTTGTTCACTGAAGGGCCCTGT